ATTGAGAATTACCGTTAATATTCGATGTAAAAATATTTACTTGTCCTAGCTCTTCCCATGTTTGAAGTAAATTACAAGGAAGTTACAGAATTGAGTAGTGCCCCATTTTATTATAAGAGCGGCTTGCATCTTATGAAAAAGGTTATGTCTATTCTGAAGCCGAGATGCTCGCTTCATCAGAGCTTAATTGCCCCAGTTCAATTCTTGAGGATGAAGCGAATTGGAAAGCAAGTTATATTAATAGAGATATTTGTTACTCTACTCTTATCCGTTAGTATTTCCTTTTCTTCAGCACTTTTGACTGTCATTTTGTTAAACTATAAGCTCGTAACCATCACGACACATGTACGTGTGACTCCAGTGAAAGATATCTAGGTCCATGGACAGCAAAATGCTTGTCTGATTGTCTGCTTTACTGCTTGTCTCACTCCTCTAATCTTCCAGCAGTAAAGAAACGGGTTCAAGGTGGAGTTTAAATACACTACAACTGACGCAATTCCAGAAATGACGAATGTAAATGAGGAATATGTTTTACTATGAGTAATCACAACCAAAACCATAAATTGTGGTGCATAACAAACAACTAATGCTAACTGCACCCACAATGCGCTGTACAAGGCTTCTCTATAACGCGCCATGTTCAGCGCATTTGGTTGGCTCGGCTGTTGCTGANAAGGATCTGATTGTTAATTTCCTCTCTAGCTGCTGCTCATTTCGTTGTAAATGTGTGATGAGAATGTGGTGTTAATTAAAGATAAAAAGGAAGTTTTAGTATACTCATAACCTGTTTACCTGATAGGGGTTGAGCTTGTTTTTCTGTAATTCCCATTGAATTACTTCATCTGTTAGGATTATGTTATTTGTTTTGGATTGATACTTGTTGTTCATAATAAATTTTTTTCAACTATTTGTGTTTGAGTGGCTTAGGGTAATGAAATGGCATTATACTTTGTTACTTTATAAATATGTTTTTGTGAGACATTAACAGCCAGTTGTGATTCAGCGAAATTTGCACAGTTAAGTTTCTTTATTGATCAATATACAGCTATATTGTGATTCAATCGTCTCTGAGGATAATGCTCATGTTGATGTAAAGAAATGTTAAAATTTTCTGCAAATAAATATATATATTGGAAATTTTTCTTCAGGTTTATGTTCTACTGTTTGAACATCGGTCACCAGCGCATCATCTCCGTCAGAAACTTCAGGCATCTGGAATCGGAGAGATATTTGTTACCGTAGAACACAAAAGATCTCACATCCGCGTAAATATAAACTCCCACCAAATTTTCAAATTACACGGAAGATACATCTTTGAGGAAAAAAATTCAATGCCGTTCTAAATCTGATGTATAAAATTATGAAAAGTTTATCTATAAACTAAGATGCCATGTAATATAATTTTAAAGAATTTAAAAAAAAAAATTTCGTTCTTGGCAAACATCTAACAGTCATTTTTTTTCTTCCTTTCGCGTCCAACCAGGACATGTTTAAAACAAAAGAACTACATCAGGTGCAAAATATTACGTAACTAAACCAACACACGTCCACGCAATCTTCATCTTTATTCGTTTTCTCAACTTCTAACATTTTTCCGATTCTTGATTTATCCTTTCTCTTCCGAAACTGAAACATGTTCCCCCCTGAAAAAAACAAAACAAAACAAGTCTACTGGAGCTGTTATTTAATTGTTTTCTTATGTTAATTTGACAACACGATGAGAAAACGTTCTAACTTGTTCATTTTTTAGACAATATATGCGGTTTGTACATCGTTAGCGCCAAATATATTCTTCTCCTGTCTTCCAATTCACAATCCATTTTGAAAATTGAAGTTAATCGAAGACGAAGATGGAAAATCGATCCATAGATGGAAAATTGTTTAAATGGATGATAAAGTTTGATTAATAAAATGAAATCATGGATGTGGCCATTCACATCAAAATATTAAGATATTCAAAATGTTCTTTTTCAGCGATCTGATGAGGTGTTGCCCCTACTTGAGTTTAAATCGAAATTTATGCTGAAACTTCAACAAAAATTCCCATATCGTTCAGTTCAAAGGTGATAAACAGTTGTAATTAAAATGTTCCTCTCTAAATTTTCAGAGCATTTTTAATTATCTCTTTCTATTTCGTCTGTTTCGTACAAGCGATCGATAATAAAAATCGACAACCTCCCTCGCTGATACTGAAGCCTTTAATAGGTCTTTTCTTCTAATTCACATGGCGAGGAAACTTAGACAATACTATAAATTTCAACTTCCGTTTGGCTAACGTTGTTTATTTGCATGAATTTATATACAGTTATCTCGTCACTTTTTCGCGGCATTGAGAATTACCGTTAATATTCGATGTAAAAATATTTACTTGTCCTAGCTCTTCCCATGTTTGAAGTAAATTACAAGGAAGTTACAGAATTGAGTAGTGCCCCATTTTATTATAAGAGCGGCTTGCATCTTATGAAAAAGGTTATGTCTATTCTGAAGCCGAGATGCTCGCTTCATCAGAGCTTAATTGCCCCAGTTCAATTCTTGAGGATGAAGCGAATTGGAAAGCAAGTTATATTAATAGAGATATTTGTTACTCTACTCTTATCCGTTAGTATTTCCTTTTCTTCAGCACTTTTGACTGTCATTTTGTTAAACTATAAGCTCGTAACCATCACGACACATGTACGTGTGACTCCAGTGAAAGATATCTAGGTCCATGGACAGCAAAATGCTTGTCTGATTGTCTGCTTTACTGCTTGTCTCACTCCTCTAATCTTCCAGCAGTAAAGAAACGGGTTCAAGGTGGAGTTTAAATACACTACAACTGACGCAATTCCAGAAATGACGAATGTAAATGAGGAATATGTTTTACTATGAGTAATCACAACCAAAACCATAAATTGTGGTGCATAACAAACAACTAATGCTAACTGCACCCACAATGCGCTGTACAAGGCTTCTCTATAACGCGCCATGTTCAGCGCATTTGGTTGGCTCGGCTGTTGCTGAACCCGATGATGACTTAGAGAGCGGAAAATCTTTGTATACGAAGCGATAGAGATCACTGAGCATGAAAGTGTAACTATCATGATAGACCGACGGGTTATATGAGTATGTGAAATAGAAAAAGATGCAACGGCAACAGATATTACGCAAACGATAGCTGTAATGATATACATGCGCTTCAAAGTGACAAAGTGTCTGTATCTCAGTCCCAACAACAGGGCGAGAAGTCTGTCTAAACTTATGGCCGTCATCGTCAGTAAAGATGCTTCGCATAATGAGTAGCCTGTTACGTAAGCTGCGTCCCTTGCGTATCTACAAATACTCCAGTGTTGGTAAGCTAAGGACATCCAATAAATAGCATTAATAGGCTCGGTAACAAGACCAACCAACAAATCGGTTGTAGCCAAACAACGATATAAGTGTTTAGACGACGGAGAGAGAGAATTTTCCTTGTTTAGTGCAATAAGGATAAGAAAATTCCCAAGAATTGCTGTAATGGAAAGTATTATGTTGGTTGCTGAGAAATAAATTGACATCTGCCCCAGTCCACCTACCAGAGTAGGTGAGCATAACAGTTCTCGAAAAGTCATCATTTGGGTTCCACCCTCTGTTGAATTTGTTATCACAATCATTCTGGAGCTAAATAAACGGACTCCTTCTTCTTCAAGTTTCGTTACGTTATCTTATGTGTTCCACATTCTGTAAAATCTGTGTTTGCAGCTGAGGAACAGAGCTGTCATGTCACAATACCTTTTTTGGGAGGCCGTAGGTGTGGCTTACATTAATCAAACCCAAGTCGGGAAACAATTACTCTTACAACAATCTTTATTCAAACAGAGTTAATTTATTCTAATAATATGTATAAACTGTTATTTAACAGTTAGTGACGAGGTGTAAATAGTTTTTGAGTAAGTGAATTGAATATCATCATTGAAGGTAAATAAAAGAAACAAACAGACAAACAAAACAAGGTTATTAAACAACAAACATACGAAATACATATATATGAACTGCGGTTATGAAACGTATATGTGCACGATCCTTCGGAGTAAAGCACTATTTAAGCAATAGTGAAAATCAGACCTGAAAAAAATTCAGGCCTGTACGGGATTCGAACCACTGACCTCTGCGATACTAGTGCAGCGCTCTACCAATTGAGCTAACAAGCCAACTGGGAGCAGGCCATCAAATTAATTCGACATAAACCCGTAGATGATAAATCAAACAACAAACATCTGAAATACATATATATGAACTGCAGTTATGAAACGTATATGTGCACGATCCTTGATAAAAACAAGGTTATTATCACTACGGCACAAAAAACGGTTTCAGGCCTTGAGCAAAGCGAGGCGGCGAGGTGGCTGTCGAGACTGTCATAGATATATGTTTTTTACCAAACAATGGTTTGAGTCTTAACCAGGTGTTTCTCTATTGGTAAACTTAAGTACCAACTAGCATTTAGAGTTAATTTACTCGGTAAAGATGGTTTCATCTGACACGATATCATCACAGTGGACAATAAGTTAAGATAACTCTTCACAGAAACCGGCCATGAAAGAGAATTTGATCTAGATAAACTGTTATTCAACGGTGCAGGTGATTAAATGCAAAATTTTAACTGTAAGTTGAGTTATCATGTATGTAAACAGAAAACAAACACAGAACTGAAATAATTCCTTCTTTGACGAAGTTTTGCTTTTTGGTGTAAGTCTCTTTCGTTTTTTTCTGAGGAGACTGTCACGGATAAAATACTTGAAATGTTTATTTCTTAAGATTTCTTTTAATTCGCATCTTCCTCTTTCAATCTTAAAATAACGCCACGGCAAGAGATTGTTAACAGTAAATAATAATCTCTTAGACGCGGTAATCGAAAGTGTTGTCGAAAGTTCCATGGGTAAGCTCTGGACTCTAGTAAGACGACAGATCTATTTTTATCTCAGGATTGTCAGCGGTATATATTAAAAAGCGACTACACGTGTATGTCCATTAGTCATCGAATTCTATCTCAAATGCCGGTCGAAAGTGTCATCCCCGAAGCGGGTCAAAAATGGCCAGAAAATGTCGGCATTATTGCGATGGAGGTTTACTTTCCTTTTACGTGTGTAAACCAGGAGAAATTGGAAGAGTTTGATGGCGTTAGTAAGGGGAAATATACGATTGGTTTGGGGCAACGAAACATGGGTTTCTGTGGAGACCACGAAGACATCAACTCGATGTCGCTCACGGTTGTTCACAAACTGATGGAGAGAAACTCTATCGATCCAAACGATATCGGCCGGCTTGAAGTTGGAACAGAGACCTTGATCGACAAATCTAAATCTGTGAAAAGTGTTTTAATGCAGTTGTTTGAAGAGAGTGGGAACACAAACATTGAAGGGATTGATACAACAAATGCTTGTTATGGTGGTACTCAAGCGCTGTTTAACTCAGTTGCGTGGATCGAAAGCAGTTCGTGGGACGGTGAGTGTTATATTTATTTAGCATTGGAAATTAAAAGAAAGAAATTTGTTCGCTCGAGCTTCGGACTTATATTAAGTACAAAGGTCGATTATTTCATTCTTAGTTGACAGGTTTCAACTCGCAGTCCTTTCAGATTCAAAGGTCACAAATTTAAAAATTACAGCTTTTGTTATGATGTTGCATTATGGCTTCAAGAGAAAGCGAGGAGACCGTCCCGCTAAGAATAAATAAATGAGCAAATTACTTAATATGAGAAAAGCCTCGGGAAACCCTAAATTGGCCTCTGTTACGTTTATGCTATTGCCGGGACGAAGTTGAAACAACTGAGCTTACCTAATAGAAGATAAGTACAGTTATAAGGACTTGCGCGTGTGTTATTGTGATTGACGATCAAACAAAGACTATCGCTGATTATGTTTATTTCATCATCTTTTGACCAAATTTGCCCCAGCAAACATTCAGGAACATCAGCTGATATATCCTGAATAGTATTCCCCAATCTTGAAACATTGCAAGTGATAATTGAACTGTTCTTTGCATGTGATAATTTAATTATTCTTTGCGTGTGATAATTTAATTATTCTTTAGACTTCTCAGATTCAGTATTAGGAAGTTTATGCAATCCATTCGGGATTGCTACCGTAATTTCCAGCAGTTTACCCACAGGTAATCTGTTGATTTTTCCTTAATTAAGCACATGCCACTGCAGGTAATAGTGAGGTATGGTTTATGTCATTGTTATATCATTGTTTAACCTAAACTCACTGAAGGATAGACATACTAAGCAATGTAATAAACTTTTCGAACCAATAGTGTCCAATACCGAGCACAAACTTTATCACTTTTCGCCACCGAAGAACCATAATTTATTACTTATAATCTTAGAAATCAACTTCAGTTTGTTAACTCAATAATGCGCACCAAGTGTTTCTCCCAGATGTAATTACCAGCCACGTGCAGACAATAGGTGTAGTGTTATGACGTAACATGGACATGCATGCACAGTGTGGCAGCACAAGGTCGGACTGAGGATTGTATTTTAGAGTTTAATAAAAAGAGCTCCATTTCTACATAGCGAACTGCATCATATTTCACAATAGGTCTCTGTATTGTCCTTTTATTTTTCTTGAAAACAATATGCTCTTTAAACATAATTTATATTTTTAGCCTGTATTGTATTGTAAATGATCATGCAATTCAGCCTTATTTGGCTGCCATGTGATTTTTAATGAAGCTATCTATCTAAGGTATCTATCTATCTGTGACAATTTTGAAATCTACTGGTAGCTGAATTGAAAAAAAATTCTCACCTGCCTGCTCTTCCACCTCTCAAATGAATTTTATTGTATTAAGAGTTCCACAAAGCGGCACGAAAACATGATGCCAACTCGAGTTTATTTCACGCACGGTTAGTTGTGTGACAAACAAATTTTTATTTGCACACATGTAAACAAAACCTTGATGGTGACAAAAATGATCCAAGGATATCTGGCACATCAGTGACAAATTTCCAGTTAACACTAGCTTGAGCTGAAGAGAATTTCCCGTTTTAAGAGACTTGTTAGGCCCAGTAGAACCAGAGATATTGATTTTTTTGAGAAGTCAGCAAGTCAACATGGCTTTGAACGATGGCCCACACAAAATGTGGCCACGAATTCACATTCTGTCAAGTATGAAACGTTGTGAATTCTGCTTTTAAGGTGCGGGTTTTATCCACCAACTGGTGCAAATAATCTGTGGACTTGTTTTTTCACCATATGCAATAATCGGCCTGTGTGGGTGATTGGCCATGCGGGTAAATGGCTGGAAATTATGGTAATTCAAGATTCTAAGTTTCATTCTAGTATAAAATTGAATTCATGTATTTTTTTAGTTCATCAATATCTAAGTGTATATGCATGCTTAAGGTCTATTAGTTCAGGATTGCTAATCAGGATTTTCAGTTTCATTTTAGTATAAAATTAAATTAATGTATTTTGTTCACTTCATCAACATCTATGTGTATATGGGTGCTTATGATCTATTTGATATTTTTGATGGTATGCAATTGCTTTCAAATGCATCACATGGCTGAAAGAATCCCAGTTAAAACAGAGGTACACCAGCTGACATTCCCTCTGTGATATTCCCTTGTAATTTCATTCAATGTGATGAATTTGTTCCTTTTGCATTGATTCAAGATTGGAGGATATTTTGCTGTTGTTACAGAAGAGGAAACAAACTTGTTTGTACACAATTTCTGCTGAAATGTATGCACTCCATAAACTAAAAATATAAATTTTTTGTCAGCAAGCTGTTTATGCGTGCTTAGGGGTGATGAAAGCAATAGCAGTTATTTGTATAATTTCAGAGCCGAGCAAAGAGTTTCCAGCAATCTGATTGGTCGAGCGGTTCCTTATATGATGCTATATAAACCGCTCCACTTGGTTTATATAAAATGTTAAAATAAAATGTTAATAAATGGTACTAAAATGTTATGATTTTAGAAATATCTCTCTGTTGTTCAGCTCTGAAATTAAAAAAAGCGAGTGTCACCTTCAAACACGTTCTGTAATTTAAGACTGTTTGGGCATTGTTTTAACAGTTTTTGAAACCTGACTATCAACTTCTTGCTATCCGGAAGCAAGAGCTGTACTGGGGAATTCTGGCCCGAGTTCGTGGCATTATGAAAACGACGGAGGGCCAATATTCCTCGACAAGGCTCGAGTAAGAGATGTTAGTAAGCAGTTTATTGAATGGCACTCGCACTAAACGTGCTCCTCGAGCTTCCGTTGGGAAGCTCGAGTCTCAAAAATGCACGTCATTCTTTTTCTGTTCCTGGCGTTGTTAAAGGAGATGCCGGAGCTTGGGAATGAGAAAAGCGAGCCTCTCCTATTACGTTTATATCTGTCCCCAATATCATGCTATTGTTAATAGTCCTTTTTACAGTTGTGGGCTTGGTGGCCAAGCCTTTGAACAGGAGTGAGGCTAAGGGTGACCTTGTTATGATAGAGATGTTGCTGCTTTTCAAATGCAAATTTCTCTGTTATCATGCTAACTAGATACAGGTCTCTATCACAACAGGGTCACCCTTAGCCTCACTCCTGTTCAAAGGCTTGGCTACCAAGCCCACAACTGTGAAAAGGACTATTTAGAGCTAAGGATGACGGAAGAAGTGTCGAAATATGTTTTTAAGAAAATATCGTATATTTCTTAAACTTTGTTTCATTTATTGTACAGTGCAACGACAAGCAGACATGCCTAGTCAGTAGTTAACAGAAACAATCAACTAGAGCTTACTTCTCTGTTTATCTCCCTTGTATACAGAGATGTCAAATTGGAAGAAACGTTTCAAGACGAGGCCAAAGCCAAGGAAATTGAGAAAGCGTCAATGAAGTGTAGTAACGATGCCTACGACAAGAAAACGGCGTCCTCGTTGTGTATTTCTCGTAACGTTGGAAATATGTACACCCCTTCACTTTATGGTTGTCTCGCGTCTCTCTTGTTCAGGTATTGGCCGGTGTTATATCAGTAACTTCAAGGGAGTTGAAAGAAATTTGGGATCGTATTGTTTTTGCTTTACTTCGCCCATTTGTCTTGTGACTGTAAGTGATTATTGTAGCCTGCTTGCATGTGGTAGTTGGTATGCGCAAGGATATGTGTACTAGCAAGAGAAGAGAAGAGAATTAACCATCAGATCTTGGGAGTTTAACTTAGAACAAATCATTATGATTCAACTCAGTAGAGCAAGTATTGATCCTCCTTAATCTCCCAATTTTATGTGTTTTTCTTAATTTTAATTTAACATATGACCTGTCTAGCCTTGTGCACAGGCAATTCTCTGGCAGACCATAATAAAAACTGATGTGTGGTGCCAGATTAGTTGAAGTCAGCTGGTCTGGAAAAAGGCCATCTGGCTAATTTGCACTCACAGTACTTTGTTGCAAAAACATAAGGAAAACAGAAATGAGAAAAAAATAATGCTTCTTTTTTTTGTATAAATTGTGAGATTCTTGTTCTAATCCTAAAATCTAATCCAATGTAATGATTTTGAGCCAAAGATTTTCCTGTCTAACCCTCCCCCTCTTAGTATATACTGGTAGTATTTATTATGTTTTTTGTTTTGTAATTATGTGATATTACAACTCTTTCTTGAATGTAATAAACTGGCAGAAATGGTAACTAGAAAAAGGCTTCCACATGG